TAGGATGTAATTAGGCTAAATCAATATATTCCAGCTATTTAAGCAAGAATGATGACAATAGCCTGATTAGGAGGCAATTCTATCAAGCTGTAGAATATGATTTATGTTGAAGCATCTATCATGATGACTGTAAAAATAAAAGACACTTATTAAAGGACAGACATCTTTGGAATCCAATAAAATGTTCATTACCTTGGGGGAATTTTTATGAAAATTTAAGATAAAACCCTTGTATTTGATATTTTATTACTTTTAGAATATAATCATCATTGAAGATTTTTCTTTAACTCTTTACTTTTATTTGCATTTGACTTTTTCTTTTTCTCTTTAAACTAGCAAATCATCTCCAGGTAATATAAAGGTATTGTGTATATCTGGAATATGTCAACAAAACATTATTTCTGTTGTGTGTTTATAGAAATTAATAAATATTATATACCGTAAGTATATCTAAATTATAACCTCAAAATAATTCTGGTTTTAAAAACCCATTTGTATGCTAAAACTCATCAAAAGTCACCAATCTAGCCGAGCGTCTCCATGATCTCACTGATCACAGAAGTACTAAAGCAACTTAATGTACAAAAGTCATTTTTCTTTTAATTATTGGGGTGACACTGGTTGATAAGATTTTAGGTGTACAATTCTATAATACATCATCTGTATATTGTATTGTGTGCTCACCGCACCAAGCCAAGTCTCCTTTCAACACCATTTCTCTCCCCTATACCCTCCTCTAGCTCCCCCCACACCCTTTCCCTCTGTAATCACCACGCTGTTGTTCGTGTCTATTTCCTCTCTTTTTTTGCTTAATCCCTTCACCTTTTCACCCAGGCCCCCCAAACACCCTCTTCTCTGACAGCTGTCAGTCTGTTCTCTATGAATCTGTTTCTATTTTGTTTGTTAGTTTATTTTGTTCATTAGATTCCACATGTGAGAGCATGTGATACTTGTCTTTCTCTTACTTGCTTATTTCGCTTAGCATAATATTCTCCAGGTCCATTCATGCTGTCACAAAGGGTAAGATTTCCTTCTTTTTTATGGCCACAAGAGTCATTTTTTTAACATAAAAAATATATAGATTTAATTTCAAGTTCATGATCAAACAAATCTGCAAGAAATTGGGGCATGATTATTTAAAGTTTTAGTTATGGAGTAGGTAAATATTTGTAGGCAGATAAATATTTGAGATGAATAAGTGAATGAAAAAATTTTATAGTCACATTAAAGGAACAAAGTACTAAAATTAAAAGGGGGTAATTTTCTAAGAGACTTATTATTATTTAATATATGAAACACAATTTTCCCTATTAAGATTAGGAAAAAAAGGAGATTCTACTAATGAGGGTACAAATATAGGTTAAAATTAATTCATGGATAATTGATTTTTCCATATTGCCTTAAATTTTATTTGATTTGTTAAAATATCTGTAGTATAGTAAAAATAAGGTAGTCCTAAATACTTAAATGAAAATTAAAAATATATAGTGGTGTTTAGTTGTATGATCAAATGCAGCCTCTCATTTTCAGTTGCCAAGGAACCCTTACACTTTTCTGCAACAAAGTTTCTTTACATGCCTGGTACAATGAAAGCCTTATCAAATAAGTCTTTTATAAAGAATGCAATTTGTATATTTAGAATCTGTACATTTTCCCCCCTCACATACATACTGACAATTTTCTATTACTTGTGTCAACTTATACCAAAAAAATCTCAGGGCCTTCCCTTGGAAATCTTGTATGAGGTTATAGAAATCAAACAGCAAGGAGGGAACTGAGGCTTTCTATAGGCAACAGAAAGGTTACTATGAAGGCAGATACCTTGTCAGATAGACACACAAAAGACAGCATGTATAAAAGGGGGAATAGAAGAGCTACTTGGCTGCTTAATACCATTGCTTCTCTTAATTTCAGAATGGCATCAAATACCAAGCATCTGTCATCTTTGTTATTGTTTTTCAGTAGTAACAGAAACCACACAGCTGCTCTTGGTAAACTTGAAATCATCTCAATAAAAAATAGTTTTAAAAACAAATCTGCCATCATTGCTATCACTTTTTTTCTCCCCCCCCCCCC